AAGCACTATTTTATGCAACCCATTACTGACTGCACTTACCATATTGTTGTATAATTATCTCTTTCCTTGTCTGATTTTCCCACTGGATTGCGAATTTGTTGAAGGCTGACACTTGACATTTTAAATTGTATCCTCAGACCTAGTACTGTGAAAAGATCATAGTTGGTCTCAATGAATGCATGCTGAATGAATAAATGTGCCTGAGTCATTGAAATGGTTAAAATGAATGTAATCATAATTGCTCTCAAGTGTTTGAGCACCAAATTTAATGTTATCCTTACTCTCAAAGTTTGCCCACTGTGAAGGTTTCCACTCTATTATTAAAGTGTATCAAGTTAAAAGTTAGCTTTTCATAGCAAATTAATTCCTCAGAGTAAGTTAACTGAGCCAGTTGATTTGTGGCTATGTGTACAAAGGCAAATGAAATAGAAAGTTAAGTAATTGCTCTGTCAATTTAGTCAATATTGACAGCTACTCTGGAGCACCCATGCAGTTTTCTTTTACTTAAATAGTACAGATAATTGTCTCAAATCTAAAAAGAAACAATGACCCAGCATTTGTTCCCCATGTGACATAAAATTGGTTGCTGTGAAATGGAAAATCAGAGCTCTACAATGGTACGAGTATAAGAGTTAGTAGTTCCTGAAGTATCAGAAGGACCTAGCTGTAAAGGCATTTTGCCTATAATACAGCTCATAGCATGAACCTTGAAGAAAATACGACTGAAGACATAGCTTTTAAGGAAGAGCACTAAAGAATTGAATCTTCATTTCCATCAAAAGCACATTATTGACAATTCCACATCAACAAACAAGTGTAACCCTTCCTTAATCACATTTATTCTGTAGTAAACAGGTAAAATTACTAAAGCCATTGACATTCTTAGTTAATCTGTTATAAATTTAAAGAAAGAGACCTTTAAATTCCAAATATGGAATTTTTTAAAATGCAAGAAAAGCACTTGAAATATGTTGAAGTTATTTCTATTTCTGGTTCTTCTGAATTAAAATTATTTTTCTCTATTCTTGTTCATATTGTTTTTGCTCAAAATCTAAAAACTATTCCAATGGGTACAATATATTTAAACTCATTTTAAATTGCTTAGTATTAATTGATAATACCCAACATCCATTAAAACTATTTGAATTGACTTAAATGATAAAGCATATGTGACAATCAAGTGTCATTTTTTTCTTAGTAAAAATTGAATTCTGCTGAGAGATTAGGATTGAAATCCATTGCAATTGAACCCAAATTTAATGCTGATCTTCCTGGACTTAAAGATAAATGAGAAACATTATGGAGTTATATAGTTCTTATTGTCTGATAAAAGGAGCCAAAAGTTGTTTTTTTGTTTTTGTTTTTATTTTTTTGCAGAGACAAACATTACTAGTGTTAAATCATCATATGATTTTTTTTCAGGAGCATGACATAGAAATTAAGGAATATGACAGGCATTGATCCCTTCTTTGGCTTGATACAAGGCACAGAAATATTTTTCATGTAGCCATTTCTTGCACAGACTCAAAAGTAAAATGTAAGTCCATGACAGAAAATTGTGATGCAGTAAAAGCAGTTGATACTGAAAAATAGAAATTTAAATTCCATTGGCAAAATCTCAAATTTCTGTTGCTGCCCAGTCCCAACAGTCTCATATGAATGCCCTTCCACGCTTTAAGCCATGCCAAGGCAGCCAAGATGAGAAAACTTCTCTTTTTTTTTTTTTTTTTAGAGAAAGAGAATTTTTTAATATTTATTTTTTAGTTTTTGGCAGACACAACATCTTCATTTGTATGTGGTGCTGAGGATCGAACCCAGGCCGCACGCATGCCAGGCGAGCACGCTACCGCTTGAGCCACATCCCCAGCCCCAAGAAAACTTCTTTAAAATTGTTCTCATTAGAAGTTTTAAATCTTGAATCACTTGAAAAATTTAATGTGGAATGGAAGCAAACTGCTGGAGCACAAGTTGCGACAAAAAGCACCAATTGTGTTTCACACAATCCTGTTGGATAGGTACTGTTTGACTCTCAGAAGCAAATGTCAAGCATGAAAATATGTCCCCAGAACGTCATGTCCTGTCTCGTATGTAAGGAGCTTAGAAGTCTTTACTCTTATCTTACCAAGTAAAAAACTCAACTGAAAAATCAACTCTTCTTAACATCTGTCAGAGAGGTGAGAACAAACCACTATCCTAAAAACTGAACACAAAATGGGTTGATATAGAGAATCACAATTTGTTAGAGCAGAAACCCAGTAGTAGAAACTTCCAAGGGTAGTAAAATCTATACTACAATTGACAAATTGCTCAAGGCTTGGTATAAATAGGCAAATATCATGGGGAAACCTTCACACTTTTATTGAGTTTTACCTCTAGGAGTTCTGCCAGACCTTCACAATGAATTTCAAATAAAAATACCCTCTTTCTTTCAAAAATGGGAGGGAAAAAGAACAATTTTGAAATACATAACATTAGTTTCATCTTTAAAAGCCTACCCTTAGGAGGAGCTATTTAACCAATATCTAACCTGCCAGGGTTTTACCAGACATGGAAATAACCACCTTTAGCTCTCTCTATCCTTCCACCTGGAATAATAAAAATACATACCTCCAGACCTCTTCAGCATCCTATCCCACCTAATGGGAAAAAAATACCAAGAGAGTTCAATGTACAGAAGACAGGCTTACCTAAAGACTGAGACCTAATCAAAGAGCCATAGAAGCCAGGTGCAGTGGTTCATGCCTGGAATCCCAGTAGCTCAGGCTGAGACAGGAGGATTGAAAGCTCAAAGCACAGCACTAAGCAACTCAGTGAGACCCTGTCTCTAAATAAAATACAAAATAGGGCTGGGGATGTGGCTCAGTGGTCAAGTGCCCCTGAGTTCAATCCCTGGTACCCACCTGGCCAAAAGTAGGAACCATAGAATGCTTTATCTCCCCACGTATTTTACAAATACATTACTAAAGGCCTATTTGCAGCATTTCCTTTCACCTAGTATGTCATGTTCAATTTTCAACAAAAAAAAAATTCAGGGCATAAAAAATCATTAAAAAAATTGAAAAGACAGAGAAAGTATCAAAACTTGTCTCCGATTTGGCAAAGATGTTAACAATATTAGAGCAGGATTTTTTTGAAAAAAGCTATGATTAATAAAATAAGAGCTTTAAGTATTATATTATACAACATGCAATGCAAGCCAAGAGATGGAAAATCTAAGAGTTAGTGAAAAAAAATGTTGAGTTCAGACACACTATAAAGGAAAGGGAAAATTACTTTGATGAACTCCAACACTAAGACCCAATGGCGGGAAAATTCTCTGTGCTTCGTATACTAAATGAATTTTTGTTTTGAGAGAAAGAGAGAAAGACTTGCCATATCGCCCAGGCTGGCTTTTTTTTTTTTTTTTGAGAGAGAGAGAGAATATTTTAATATTTATTTTTTAGTTTTCGGTGGACACAACATCTTTATTTTATTTTTATGTGGTGCCGAGGATCGAACCCAGTGCCCTGCGTATGCGCTACCACTTGAGCCACATCCCCAGCCCCCCAGGCTGGCTTTAAACTCCTGAACTCAAGTGATCCTCCTGCCTCAGCCTCTTGAGTACTTGGGACTACAGCACTGACCACCAAATCTAGCTGACAATAGAAACTTCTGAAACTGAAAACAAGAAGAAAAATACTTAAAAAGCTCAAATCAGAACAGACTATCAAAGAAATACAAAAGGGGTAGCAACCACATAATGGTCATATCAGAAAGAGAAGAAAGAAACAGAATCGATATTTGAAGCAATGACTGAGAAATTTCCCTCAAATTAATGTCAGACAGCATTAATTTTAGGGTTAGGGTTAGGGTTAGTCTGTTGAATTTCCACAGATCCAGGAAATTCAGAGAACACCAAGAAGGATAAATGCTCAAAATCATCACTGTAGGCATATCATATTCAAACTTAAGAAAAATCAACAATAAAATATGGAATTAATAAGTTAATTATAGTAAGGTTGCCAGTTAACAAGGTTAATATACAAAAGTCAACCACTTTGACCAAGAGGAATTTAAAATTAAAAACACATTGTCATTTATATTAGCACCCCCAAACATTTTGATAGGTATAAATCTAAAAAGAAATGTACAATATCTGTATAAGAAAAACTACAAAACTGTTATGAAAGATACCAAAGGAGAACTACGTTTTCATGTATAGAAAAATTCAATGTTATCAAGATGTTAGTTCTTCCCCAATTGACCTATAGATTCAATGTCATCTCAATCAAAATTCCAGTAAGATCTTTTGTGAATATTGACAAGGTGATTATAAACTTTAGAATAAACAACTCAATATTGAAGGAGAAAAACAAAGTCAGAGTATTGACACTACCAAATCTTAAGACTTTCTATAGCTGGGCGTAGTAGCTGGAATCCCGCTGAGTCAGCAGTAAAGCACCCTTGGGTTAAATCCCCAGTACAAAAAAAAAAAAAAAAAAAAAAAAAAACCCCCCCCCCCCCCCAAAAAAAAAAAAAAAAAAAAAAAAAACACAACCCCGCCCCCCCCGCAAAAAAAAAAAAAACCAACTAAAATCTCAATAGCTACCTCACCAAAAAAATATATATATATACAGATAGCAATTATAAAAAGATTTCAGGGGCTGGGGATGTGGCTCAAGAGGTAGCGCACTTGCCTGGCATGAGCGGGGCGCTGGGTTTGAACCTCAGCACCACATACAAATAAAATAAAGATGTTGTGTCCACCAAAAACTGAAAATTGAATATTAAAAAATCTCTCTTTTTTAAAAAAAGATTTCAACATCATATGCTATCAAGAAAATGCAAATTAAAACAATGAAATATCACTATATACTTATTAGAATGGATGCTGAGGCAGGAGGATCACAAGTTCCAGCCCAGCCTCAGCAACTTAGCAAGACCCTATCTCAGAATAAAAATAAATAAAAAGGACTGGGGATGTAGGTCAGTGTTAAAGTGCCTCTGGATTCAATCCCCAGTGTCTCCCCCAAAAGAAAACAGCCTCACTGGCTGCCATGAAAAGCCATCTTTGCATTGTTCCTGGGTCCAGCTCCCCAATAGCCACAACCACCTCTGCCCCGCGCCTGCTCCACCTCCTCTGCCGCCCCACCTGTCAGACGCAGCTGTGGACACTAGATCTAAAATCACCACCAAGGGCTTAAAGGAGAAGGAAGTTGTGGAGGAGGCAGAGAATGGGAGAGACGCCCCTGCTAATGGGGATGCTAATGAGGAAAATGGGGAGCAGGAGGATGACAATGAGGTAGATGAGGAAGAGAAGGAGAAAAAGGTGATGGCGAGGAAGAGGATGGAGATGAAGATGAGGCTGAGGCAGCTACGGGCAAATGGGTAGCTGAAGATGATGAGGATGATGACGTTGATACCAAGAAGCAGAAGACTGATGAGGATGATCAGACAGCAAAAAAGGAAAAGTTATATTCAAAATAAAAGGCCACTGTGACCTATTCACCCTCCACTTCCCCTCTCAGAATCTAAACGTGGTCACCTTCCAGTAGAGGGGCACGTCTGCCCGCCCACCGCGGGCAGTGCCACCCGCAGATGACACGTGCTCTTCACCACCCAACCAAAACCACAACGTGAATTTGAAACAGGGGAGGGAAAAAGAACCAAAACTCCCAAGGCCCTGCTTTTTTTTCTTAAAAGTACTTTTAAAAAGGAAAATTTGTATTTTTAATTTACAATTTATATTTTTGTACAAATTGTTAGTGGTCAGCCATTTTTAATGATCTTCGATGATCAAACCAACCTTTGGAGCATTCTCTGTCCTACTTCTGACTTTACTTGTGGTGTGACCATGTTCATTATAATCTCAAAGGAGAAAAGAAAATCTTTGTTAAAAAAAAAAAGCAAAAACAATAACAACAAAACAATCTTATTTAGAGCATCCCAGTAATATTTTTTGTGTATGTACTTTAGCTGTACTATAAGTAGTTGCTTTGCATGAGATGGTTAAAAAGGCCAATGATAAAGAGGTTTCTTTTTCTTCCCCCCCTTTTTTTGTCTATGAAGTTGCTGATTATTTTTTTGGCCCATTTGATGTATGTGTGAAACAATGCTGTCCAACAATAAACCAGAATTTTATTTTGCTGAGTTGTTCCAAAAAAAAAAAAAAAGAAAAAAGAAAAGAAAACTATTTCAACATACCATAAAATAAACTCCAGTTCTGGAAAAGGATATATATTTAAATCTATATTCTGCCCCTTGTTAGCTGTGTACACTTAGACAAATGGGAATAATAGTCCCCCTCCCATGGGTTTATTATGAGTATCAGATGGGCACATATTACAGTCAATAAGTATAAATGGCATGAAAGTAGAAAGTAAAATGTCCACTACATAATAAACATGTGAATGCTAATTGGTATTAATAGTAATAACAGTAATTTAACAATGTAAATACTATATGACCAAGAGAGAATTTGGTCCACACAGAATTCACAGTGTTTCTTTATGACCAGAATTGTTGAATAGTTTTTGTGAAATATTGTCAATGAGGACTATTGTCTTGGAATAGGTTGTGAACATATTGCTAGAAAAAATTTTTAACTACTTTTAGATTAAGATTATGATAAAAATTTTAAGGTTGTACTTTTCCTCAAAGATTTAATTCATAATAAACTGTTCATTTGCATTTAATAATATATCCTTGACCTACATGGTACTTATCAATCACTGCATTACAGACTACCACAAAACTTAACACATATGAAACAATACAAGTTTATCATCTCAAAATTGTCCTGAGAAATTCAGAGGCAGGTTAGTTGGGTGGTTTTGCAAAGAATCTCTCACCAGGCTAAAGATGTCATGGAGGGCTGTAGTCTTTGAAGATTTTATGTGTGGTAGGGCATTGAAAGATTCAGATCTTGTTGTTGTTGTTGTTTTGTTTTATTTTTTAGGATTCACTTTTCTAAGTTCATTCATGCAGTTTTCAACAAGAGACTTTGTTTTATCAGCAGATGGGCTGCTCCATAGACCTGCTCAAGCCATGGATTCCATAAGAGTGAGTGACAGAAAGACAGAGACAGAGAGAGAATGCAGGTGAGTGAAAGCATGTCTAAAATGATAGTCACAGCCATTTATAACCATCACTTCTGCCCTATGACATTGATCACACATGCTAATGTTATGGGGAGAGTGTTACACAAAGGTGAGGATACCAGGAGACGGATATCACTAGAGATCATCTTGGAAGCTGGCCACCCCAATTAATGACTATGAGTTTGGATGCATTGGCCTCTAGATTCTTTCTATGCCTTTCTCATTTTCTCCTAGCATTTTAATTACAGTAATGTCTAAACTAATACACATTTCACATATTATTTCTTTTGCAACAAGATCTTAATTATAATGCAAACCACAACATTCACAGAGGCTCAAAAGTACACAAGAGTCTATGTAGTTTCCATTCTCAAATAAGATAAACTGTGTTTAAGACATGAACTCCTCAAGGAGAGCTCACAAATTGTTGTTGTGTTCTTATTCTTGACCAATAATTATCCAATATTCTAAATGTTATTCTCATTATTAAATCATTGTAATGACCAAATAGAAACTGACATCTAGTCTCCCATAATGAGATTCTGCTTGTGGACTCACAAATGAATCAACTAAATTAGCTCTGAAATGGCAATTTTTTGCCTAATGCATGTGCCTGTGTGGTATATCTATGTGTGTATGTACATATGTACCACAGTAATTAACACATTTAAATATTCTCATTAAATTTTATATTTAGTATATCTTTAGTGCTTATCACAGTGCCAAACACATAGTAAGAGCACATTTAAATAACGTTGCAGTGAATCTTGTGGAAGATGACAAAGATGCTGATATCTGCCAAGAAGTAAACAAATATGTCTTTTATGCCTGCTGGAGGGCAACATTACATAGTTCAGTGGTTCTTAAACTTCTACATACAGCAAAACTCATTTAAGAACTTGTTTAGGATTTATATTCCTAAATTCAAAGTTCAAGGGAGCCATGTAATCTGTATTTTTGTGTACGTGTGGTGCTGGGGATCAAACCCGGAGCCTTGGGCATGGGACTCTACCACTGAGCCACATCCCTAGCCCTGTAATCTGTTTTTAAACAGGCACCTTTGGGCAATTCTGCTATAGCTGATCAGTATCTAACATCATATTTGAACATGTACCTAAGTGTAACTCAGATGTTACCAAATCCATTTTAATAATCAAATAAAATGATTCCATCTTCCATTTTCTCTCCTGTGTAAACTAGACACCATATTTCAGTCTCCAATATGATATTTTCAACAATTTCTTAAATGTGATACCCAAAGCACAAATAAGCAAAAAATAAATGTAAATTTAATCAAAATTTAATTATTAAAATTTAAAATTACACAAAAATGTTTGTTCTTCAAAGGATGCCATCATGAAAAAGAAAGGATAATCCATGGAATTGGAGAAAATATTTACAAATCGTATGTGTGATGTTGTGGTTTCAATATGAGATGTTCCCCAAAAGTTCATGTGGGATACAATGCAAGAATTGTGAGGAGGTGGAATGGTTGGATTTCGATAGTTGTAACCTAATCAGTGGATTAATGCACTTACATGGATTAACTGGGTAGTAATCCTAGGCAGGTAGGGTGTGGCTAGAGGAGGTAGGAAACTGGTGGTGTGCTCTGGGGTTTATAGTTTGTTCCTTGTAAGCAAAGTTCTGTCTGCTTCCTTGTTGCTAAGTCCTGAGTTGCTTTCCTCCCATGCCTTTCCACCATCATGTTCTGCCTCATCTTGGGCCAAAGTTATGAAGTTTACCATCTATGGATAGAGACTTCTGAATCCTTGAGCCAAAATAAACTTTTCATCCTCTATATTGTCTTGTCAGGCCTTTTAGTTGCAGTGATAAAATAAAACCTGATAAAAACATCTGTTAAAGATTATAATTCAGTATCTATAAAAAAATCTTACAAATCAACAGAAAGACAGATATTCCAATTAAAATTTGACAAAAAGTCTGAATAGACAATTTTTTTCCTAAGAAAGAGATACAAATGGCAAAATAACACATGAAAAGATGCTCACCATTACTCTTTAGGGAAATGAAAATCAAACCCACAATGAGGGGGATTGGGGTTGTGGCTCAGCAGTACAGCACTCATCTAGCACATGTGAGGCCCAGAGTTTGATCCTCAGCACCATATAGAAATAAATAAATTAAATAAAGGTATTGTGTCCAACTACAACTAAAACGTAAATATTAAAAAAAAAACACAATGAGGGACCCCTTGGCTTTTGAGAACCCTGTTACTTTGTTATTGTAATAAACCTACTGCTTGCTTGCTAAACAACAACAACAAACAAAACACTTCAATGATATACCATGTCACATACTCAAATGGCTATTATAAAAAAAGAGAAAAACAAGTATTGATGAGGATAAGGAGAAATTGGAACACTTATATAATGTTAACATTCAAGTAATGTAAAATAGCACAGCTACTTGGGAAAAAAAATTTTCATTTCCTCAGTAAATTAAACATAAAATTAACATATGATTCTTAAAATTAGCCTGATTTCTATTTGTTGCTCTTAAATATTACTGTTTATATAATTATTTCCCTGATTAAGAATTTAATAGTCTTTAAAATAAAAATTCATTAAAATAAAATTTCCAGAAGTATAAAACTCAATCATTATTATTTTCATAATGATTTGCTTGATTCCCCTTATATTTTCCTAGGTATTGTCTAAGAAATGGAGTTTAGGATATCTGGATCCATACAAAGTTCTGACTTCTCATGGTAAGCCACAGATAGACTTTTTTAGGACTAAACAAATGAAATTGAATCTTTGTTTTAACTGTCTGATATATTGGGGAAAATGCTGGACATGGTCCTGATGAAAGTGTTATTATATTATTATGGTTGTTATATAACATTATTATGCTATTATGTTAATATACATATAGCATATAATATTTTACAGCAGCTCTGATCCAGAAAACAGAATAAAACTAAATTGATACTATATCTTCCAGAAATTACAATGTCAAGAAAAGTTATAAGTCTTACAAATGTTAAGACCTGACATCTTTAAAATTTAAATAAGGTAAACCAGGTGGTGGTACATGCCTATAATCCCAGCAACTCAGGAGACTGAGGCACGAGAATCACAGGTTCAAAGCCAGCTTCAGCAACTTAGTGAGACCTTGTCACAAAATGAAATGAAAAGAACTGCTATATAGCTGAGTGCTAGAGTGCCCCTAAGTTTAATACCTAGTACTCCAGAAAGAATAAAAAAGAAAGAATGAAAGGGTAAAGTAGAATGAGACATACAAAGAAATTTTTTTTAAAATGGGAAGCAGTATAATTAAGGTGTTATCAATAAAAACTCTCTTTTTCAGTCACAAGTCAATGTTTTATATGTGATAAAATTATAAAAGTTTGTGGGCATCTCAACA